TTTTTTTTGCCACTAAGACAGCTCTTATTTGATGCCTATTTAGCTCTTCTTCACTTATGCATAAAATGAATACTGGTACACTTTTGTACTATTCACTTATCTGCCATTTTAAAATTCAAAATGACTGTGATGCTGTTAACACTAATACTAGCCCAATTTGCTCATCAGTGTTGTCCCATTAGTTCCAAAAATGCCTTGGCATTTATCCACTGGCTGCATAAGAAAAATCTGTTTAATACAATTGCTCATGTTTGTCTTTGCTCCTTTCTGTCTGGGAGGTTCTCATTTTCTATGACACAGATCCTATGTGCTCTGTAATGAATGCTTCCGAGTTTACCAGATTCAGCAAGCACCACTTGCTCAGACATGGTTGTTCTTGAGCTTCAATTCTTCAGTGGTTTTCCCCTCAAATCAGAGCAACATCTGTGACTGTGGTAGGGCTTGTGATGGCGTGGTGAGTGTCCTTGAGCCTGAGACTTTACATCTTGTAGGGAAATTGACAGAAATGCTTCTGATCATTTTACTTTGGAGCATCTGAATAAATTCCAAGTAAAATATCAAACCAAAATACTGTCATTTAAAATGCTCTTGTCCATAATTACTTAGGCTAATAAGACAACTAGAGGCAATCAGAGGAACCCAAATGGACTGTTCTCCTCTGAAGCAAGATCCTCTGTGGGAGTGGCTGCCTGAAGTCTGAGGGCCAGATTCTGCCAATAAATGGTTCCTTGACAACTCAGCTCAGGGACCTTAAAAGGTCACCTCTGCTAAGAAGACATTCTGATTCCTCTCTGAATCCTTTTCCAATTAAGATGACTTTCAGAGCATCCACATGGTGACTCTTTTGGGACAGTGTTGACCTACTTACTCCACAGAGTTTCAGAGACTGTAAATCTTTATAGGAGCACACTGTCTTATCTTACTTCTGTGGATCAGCTGGTGGGTTTGAACTGCCAACTTTGAGGTTAGCAGCCCAACAACTAACCCACTACTCCACCAGGACTCTGAATGGGCTCAATGACAGCAGCAGTAGGTCCGAGCCTCCTGGTCTCTCTCCTATCAGAGCATCCATCATACCATCACCAATGTGATTCTATCTCCATTTTGACCACAAGCCTATGAGTTCCTTGCTTAAAACGCACGTTACCCCAGCACTTAGCATAATGCATGACCAAAAAATAAATATATGAGGCTTCAACTCACTCATTCAAAAAATATTTGAGAACCCACTATGTACCAAAGGAGTCCTGGTGTCACTATAGAATAAGCACTGGACTGCTATCCACAAGGTTCAAGCCCGTCAGCCACTCTGCAGGAAAAAGAAGATGTTTTCTGTTCCCATAAAGATTTAGTCTTGAAAACTTTATACAGAG